TCTTTCCCAGACCGCTTAATAAGCTATTTCAAAGTAAAAACACGATCAGTCGCTCCATACTCCACTGTAATCTAATTTAATTTTAGCTACTCTTCGTCCGCGCTTACGAAAAAACTCAAAAACAACTTATAAATGAGGCTTCCTATCCTTACTTTTTGCATTTTTATATAGTAGAAGAATGTTTTCAACACTTTTTTTTTTCACAAATTAGAATGAACGAGCAACTAACCATAGTGTAGGACATTTTTCTGGAAAAACCGATTGAAAGTAACAGGGACGGTACATATATTGTCCAGTGGGAGGCTAAAACAGTCAGTCGCATGAAGAACTTGTGAGAGTCAGTTTCGATTCCTCTCGATGAGTGCAGCGCAACCCAACTGGAATTCAGCTTGTCAGATCTGAAAAAAGAATACAGTTAGCAACGGATGACAGTCACTTCCAATCGCTGTCAACATGAAACCAATCAAAATCGAAGTAACACTACATTGCAAACAGCATTTTTAAATCCTCAAAAATGTCAAGTGGGATTTATGCAGACAGTTCGGCACGGATCCAAAGCTTCCCCGCTGCATCTGTGCCATCTCTTCGGGGGCCTTCCAGGTGTACGTCCACTTTGCTGTGAATATCAGTCGTTGAAGGACAAGCAACATCTCCTGCCTAACGACTTTTATTTCTTCCTCTGTCAAGAACAGGGTGCGCTTTTTCTGGTAGCTGACGAACTCCTCCATTCTTCTCTCGAGCCTCTCCTCTCCAAACAATTTTAGGTGAACGCTCAGATGAATGTTTCCACCACACTGTAGGCCTGTATCCTTTTGACAGTGCACCAGAACTTTGTTGGGAGACTTCACGAAACTTGGTGTCGGGAAAAAACTATTTTCTCTGGATGGTTCAGATCGAGAGAGTTGTGCTGGTCTATCAGGAGTACAGGATGGACTGCGGCTGCTTCAGTAGCACAGGACAGGCTACCAGCTAGGCAAGACGGGCTTCTCTGGCGTGACAAACGAAATCCCGGGATGACCACCGGCTTCCTTCCTCCAATTTCGTATCAGTAATTCACTTTATCCATATAATGCCTCTCACTCCTGCCATATGGCTAGCCCAAATCCTGCTGTTACACACGCTGCCTTGATAACTTCACTCACGCCAGACCCGATCCGCAGTGCTTTACTGGAGAAGTGCTGTAGGAAGAGAGAAGATCCAGTGAATGCCAAGACCGCCAGCGGGGGCTACCGGTAATGATCACAGTAACTATGAGGAGAAACGGACACGGGCATCAGTCGTTTATGCACGCATTCGTATAAATATACTGACACATTCGTAAATCCGAATATCAAAATAAACCTACATGGCTCCAAGAAGCCAGCTGTGGAAAGCAGTAAGCGGCGGATAATCCAATCCCCAATAGTTCAGATCGTTATTACTTCCATTTACATACCTGAACAGCACGGATATTACGTATTTGGATCAAAACCAACACGAAAATGCATTCGCACAACACATACTACTGAGTAGCCAAGTGTTTTGGAAATTTTTTGAAAAATGTAAATTATGAAACTTTGAAAGGTCTGAAAGTTTGAAACTTCCAGTGAAAGGTTATATCATGATTTTCGAGTTCCTGGGGCCGCTGCCTCTCAACGTAACATTTTTTAGGTTACGATGGTTACACTTACTGCTCTCCAAACAGACCATCCTGATGTGGGGACAAAATAAATGAATCGAGCGCATTTTTGATTTTAGATAACTGATTAAATATCAAATTTTGCAACCCCAAACTGGAATGCGGACAGCTCCCTTCCAATTATATAAGTACGAAGGGGCCAGTGAAATACAACTCTGCAGATATTCATGAACAGCGGCACTCTGCCGCAATTTCGAAGCACCCATACAAAGGATGTGATGTGAAGAGTGCGCATTACCACTGAGTGATTGGAAGATGATAAGTGATCTCCATCCAATGCCTCTGTGCCTCATAGTCACCGTACATCGGTGGCGTTGCATAACCTAGAAAACCATCCGAATATATTGCTATAATTTAAAAATGCATTTTTAAAAATTATCCAATAGCTACTGCGCAAGATCACATAAAATTTCACCCGTTCAGCACCAATCTAATTTATTCTTTTCCCAGCATACAACAAGCATAATTCCATCGCCAACCAGGTTTCTTCCCACCAAAGCACCCGAGAGAGGCACAACAGTTTCTTTCATCTGATTATCTGGATGATTCCCCATGTTCGATTAACTACGACACGGTACATTTTGCGATTTTTAATTTGAGCTGTTAATCCCAATATCCCATAAATGGATGCCATCGGAAATGTTCGAATTATGCCTCTTACTTTGTAGGTCAGTTCGATCACGACCAGTAACTGTCTCCGATACACTGGCGCTTCCTCTAACCCTTAGAGCAAATTTCACAACAACACCATTTTTTGTTTCAGCATCCAAGACGGACAACGGTCTCTGGCATCATCTCCAGCACCACCAACCCAACTAGCACCTTCGTAAAAAAGGGCAGGGAGGCAGCTGCAGTCAGAAATGACGTGTATGAGCAAATACATTAATTTATAGGGCAGCAGCGAACAGAAATTGAAAACGAACATCCCCGTCACTGCTCGCTCGCTTCACGTACGTACTTCGGCACTAAGAATAGATCAAGTGTGCTACTGGACGGATGGATAAACGAGAGGAAGTAAAACTGCTGACCTGAGTAGGAGCCGGACGAGATGCACAGCTGTATGGTGAGCAGCAAGCACAGCACACACAGCAGCAACGCGGTGCCATCCCGAAGAAACGCGCTGCGCAGCACTGCACCTTCACCCATACAACAGACGCACCTGAAATTAATACATGCTACTCTTCACAAGTACCCAGAAATTAATTCAATTTGCATTC